AAATAAAATTGACAATAGTGTAGTACTGTTACACTATACCAGGGATGTCAAAATCAATTTCATTGAGGGCTGCATCAGCATTATGGTTGTCTTCAAAGGGCCAGTAGACAGGTTGCCAAAACTAGGTGCATATGGCTGGGTGGGCAGGGCTGGTTTGATATTTCTCACTGGATGTGACTGACTCAGGACGGAACAAGCCGCACCAGCTAACTCAACATGGGGACAATTTTGGTGCCCCATAAGCTCCTTGCCTCTCCAAACTGTTGGCACTGAAGTGCGTGTGCGCACATGTGCACATTCTAAGTTTTGGGGACTTTTATTCACAAAGGAAGGAGAGGTCCTTCTCCCTAAGCCCAGGCATGATTGGCAGTTTGTAAGCTCAGGTGTGTGTGCGTGTGTGCGTACACACGCACATGCGCAGGCATGCATGTGTACAGCTTGGCAAAAGAAATGTTTTTCTCCCAATTCCAGACATTGTTGGCATTTCCCTGTCCGGTGCCTCCTCCCAACAAAGCAGAAGGCAGAGGTTAACTCTGCTGTGTGTGGAAGTGCAGACAAGAAAGTTTTCAGGAAGCAGTTTCCTTTCAGTCCAACTTCTTCCTTGACAGAGCTCTGGAGAGCAAGAGGAGGAGGCAGGGAGCTGTACTCCCTGGTCCTGCATGAGGAAGGCTGGCTCTTCTCGAAAGGGAATCCTCATTTCCAATCGCATGTGGTAAGGATGGTAGCTTATTGGGGCAGACTTCTTAATGCAGTCCCCCCGCCAGCCCCAGATCTATCAAAGCAGAAGTTGTGGGGGAGCAGGAAAGACTGGGAGTGGGAATCTGGAGTTCTCCAGCAGAAAAGGTGAGACCAGGGCAAGCACCAAAGTCTAGTCCACCAGAGAAGCCTGGCCATCCCTCTCAGACCACACAAGCTGATGGAGGTCAAGTGTCCAACCTGTCCCTTGAACTACTGGGGTACTGAGACCCTGCAGCCCAGCCCAGCCCAGCCCAACCCCATCCCAGTGAAAGAGAAGCCCTTGTGGGCTGCAAGGCTGGTCTAGAGAGTGGGTCATGGATGCATTAGTGGCAGGCACAGTGCTGATCTACAACTTTGTGGCAGCCATCCAGGGCAGAATGTGGTCAGCCTTAGATCTGGCTCATGGGGCCACCCTGGAGACAGTGAGGGCTGCCTCTGCCACCTTGGCCCCACACCCTAGGCACGTGCACAGGAGGCAATGAGCATACGGGGCCTCAGGTCCCCAGTAACAGCTTGCCTGCAAGCTGACTGTGTTCTAAATGCATCCCTTTCACCAAGACACCATCCCCCCATGCTTTGTGCCTTTTGTGCACATGCCAGGGGGAACGCTGCCCAGACTGGATCAAGGCCAAGGTGGCAGGGGACAGCACCTTGCTGTCTCCAGGGTAGCCCTACAGCCAATATCTAACCAAATTGCAGTCCGGATCTGACCCATAAACTTGTATTTGACATGTCTGCACTATACAAATCCATGATACATATATACAGTGCTTACATACCATACTGTCTACAATCTGGCCATTGCATTTGAAGGATATAATACAACCAGAAAAATCATAAAAGAGGGCCATCAAAACTATCAGGGAATTCAGACTCCTGAGCAAAAGTGAAAGCATTTGAGATCTAGCTCTGACCAGCCTGCATTACAGGTAGTTCCAAAATTATGATTGAAATTGAGATTGGGATTAGAAGCTTACTTCTATGCCAAGAAGGGCTTTTTAAATGATGACCAGCACTTTGACTTGAAGCCTACTGGGAGCTAGTGCAGCTTGCAGAGCAGCACTGTTACACAGGCTTAATCAAAAATACTAAGAGCTGGATGTGCTACTAGTTTCTGGATTAGCTATCGTTTTCACATGTTCTTCAAGGGCAGCCCCATGTAAAACACCTTAATCAACACCGTAGTTGAGTATAAGTACAACATGAATGATTATGAACAAGGCCTCATTACAACCTGGCCTTTCCCAAAACAATAAGTACCTCCCTAGCCCACTTCTAAAGACTGCCATAAATATGTGAATTGAGATGCATTTTTTTCAAAATTATCTTGCTTTGGAATAGAGAATCAAACATACTTCTTAGGAATCTATGTCCCTTACTTCTTAGTAGGCATATAAAGCAGTGTCCCTTCCACATCTGGGACTTTCAGATTATTTATCACTGTTCCTTATACCAGCATACACCCCCCTCAGAAGGAAAACTAAGCCTGAAATCAAACTCATCAAGATCTAGCCGGAGGGAGCACTTGATCCCGGATTGTTTCTCAAATACTAATTGGAATGTATTTGTATAAGAGGATTTGGAGGAATATATAAAAACTGTACTGTTTTACATCTTGACCTGTGTGGATACGGTTATTTTGAATAAGTGCATCTGGATTTTTCCAAACCAGAAGCCCTGGATGAACAAGGTTGTGCAATTACTTCTCAAGACACATGATATGGCATTCAGGTCTGAGAACAGGGTTTGGTATAACAAGGCAAGAGTGGAACTGAAGCGGGGCATCAAGGAGCCAAAAAAGGCCTATAAAAGGAAGATTGAGGATTACTTCACAAATAATGATCCACGACGGGCTTGGCAGGGAATTAAACACACCACTAATTACAGGGGCAGCAACCCCATATCAATCAATAAGGACGCATCACTGGCAGAAGAATTGAACATGCTTCTGGGAATTTCCGGTTTGTCGGCTTCGCGAGCGGCAGGGATTTGCGAAGCTGCGCGATCCCTGCCGCGCTAGCCGTTTTTGGGGCTCCGACCCAGCCAGGTACGGAGCTAGGCTGCCCTGCAGGGGCAGCTGAAGGTAGGGGGGATCCGGAGAAGGGTTTGGGGGTGCTGCAGACTCCCTCCCTGGCCGGCAGAACTCCCTTTTCCCAGGACGGTGCAGCGGCGGTCTGTAATGGCCGCCACAAAGAAGCTGGCAGCCGGGTAAGAATGCACAGGAGGAAGTGGAGAAAGTGATTGAGAGGAGAAAGTTTTTCTTGGCTCCTAGGACTCTAAGACATATCTAATAAAATTCCTGAAAAGTATGACTTTCTGAATAATACCTGCCAGAAGAGGAAAAAAGCGGCTGTTTGAAGGTGCTGAAAGGATAGCTTTCCCTCTTTTCCTACGGAATAAATAACTGGATATTAAGAAACCTATTTCTTTTAGGTGAAAATTGGTTTTAAGCGATGAGTGGGAAGAGAGAGGATTAAAAAGAAAACATTTGTATGCTAAGACTTTGTTGGAGCAGATGCCTTAAGGATTTGAAGACTAGAATATATTGCAATAAGATTTTAAACAGATTTGGACTTTCTTTCTCTTGGATTGATATTACCCCAGAAGGAGAAAGTGAGAACTCTGCCTTGGTTTGGACTGACTGATAACTTTGGGACTGTTTTATTTTTTTTATTTTCTTTTGAATATTCTGGTTGTTGTAAGAAGAAAGAAGGGGAAAAGAAAAGAAAAGATTTATAATGGCTCTTTCTGTTGAGGAACTAAGAAAAGAATATGAACAAGCAAAAAAAAATGGTAAAGATGGTGTGGAAGAAGCTTTCCTTTTCTTAGAAATGGCGCTTATTAATTATCAACAAACATTACAACAGATGAAGACAGCAGAGGAACAAGAAAGAAAGAAAGGAGCCATTTTTAATGAATCTCAGAACTTGATCCAGAAAGAAGGAAGAGAGAAAGAAAAGAAAAGAAAAGAAGAGAAAAGAAGAAAATTAAAGGACTTAAGGACTTAAGATCTAAAAAAACATTTAAGAAAGGGAAAAATAAGGTGCAAAACCAATATGATGATAGTAAACAAAAGGGAAAAGGAATACAACAGAGAAGGGAAGCTGGCAAGGCAGAGGCTAGAAGAAGGGGGGGGGTAGAAAGGTTTGTTGGGAGAAGAAAGAAAGGGAAAAGGTGGAGAAAAGCTACAATGTTTTGAAATTAAATGAAAAAAAGAAATTTTTTTTGGATAATGGATAAAGTATAATTTTTTTTTAAAAAAAAAGATTTTGCAAGGTACATAAGATGAGATGGTAGTATTGTAATGATTTAAGAGTTGATAAGAGATTAAAATGTTAAAATGTTTAAAAATGATTGGCTTTAAAACCTAATAATAGGGGAGGTTTAGAATATTGTTTTAATTAAAGAGTTTAATAAGACTATGGTATTGATGTTATTATAAAATTTTTATTATAGTATCTTTTTTTAATATTTGGATTTATTGTCTAATTATGTACTTAATTATGTTGGATGTATTAGTTAGATAGAATGTACCAAGCAAAATCGGATTGGGTATTAGATATTATTTTAAAGATTAATTTGATTAACTTAGGGGGGAGATAGAAAGGCATCATACTCTGATTAATGATTTCAGGAGAAACTTATTTTCTTTTTTTTTATAAGGAATGAGACAAAGGGATGATAAAAAATGGACAAAAGATATAAATATAATGATTCAAATTAAGATGATTAATTAAGATAGAAGTAAGAAGTGTGAAATATGTGGGGAAGTTAATATAGAAGGCCTAGAATGGTAAATAAAATAAGTAATGATATGTAAGATGAGCATGAATATAATTGAAGTCCATGAAGAGAGAGACACCTGGGTCCAAGTTACTTTCCAAAAAGATTTTTTTTTATGTTTTGTGTGTTGTGTGTATATGTCTTTTTGGGGGGAGAATTAGTTAAAAATTGTAGAAATATAGATTGAGAATAATGGTAACTAAGTCAGAAAGAAACAGATGAAATAATAATAATGATATTGAATAAGAGTAAAGAGAAGTAAAGAGAAATTGAATAAGAGGTTTTGGTATGTTGTATGGAAATGGTTTAAAACAGAATTATAATTTATCTGACTTGTTAAATTGACAATGAAAAAAGGTTTAAACATGTAATGAATAATGACAATTTGTGTGTTTTAAAAATTAATAAAACTTGTTTTAAAAAAAAAAAAAAGAATTGAACATGCTTCTTTGCCCGATTTGAACTGAATAGGTCTTTGAACACACTGCCTCTACAAACCACTGGTACTCAACTGTTCACAGTACAAGAGTATGATGTGAAGCAGGTGCTTAGATCAGTGAATGTGAAAAAGGCTGCTGGCCCTGATGGGGTACCTGGGAAGGTACTCAAAGCATGTGCTGACCAGCTCGCAGGTGTGTTTACAAATATTTACAAATATTTTTAACCTTTCTCTTACACAAGCCATTGTTCCATCTTGTCTCAAAACTTCCATTATTATTCCAGTTTCCAAAAGGCCCTTTCCTGATACTTTAAATGACAAATGACGAGTAGCTCTCACACCCATAATTATGAAGTGTTTTGAAAGACTGATTTTAAAATATATACAGGATTGCCTCCCATCAAACCTTGACCCATATCAGTTTGCCTATTGGAATAACAGATCCACAGAGAATGCTATTGCCATGGCTTTGTTGTACTGCTTTTCGTTGATTACAGCTGAGCTTTTAATATCATCATTCCGGATATACTGATTAAGAAGTTATTAGAAATGGGCCTCTCCTCTCACATATGCTGTTGGATAAAGGACTTTCTTACTAACACAGACCCCAAACTGTTAGAATTGGCAGCTATTTTTCCTCCACTCTTGCTCTCAGCACTGGCTCTCCACAGGGTTGTGTGCTGAGCCCCCTTTTATATTCACTCTACACCTACGACTGCACTCCCTCTTGTCCCACTAACTCTATAATAAAATTTTCAGACAACACCACGTTGGTGGGACTCATATCAGGAGAAGATGAGATGGCCTATAGGTCAGAGGTTCTCAGACTGGTCTTGTGGTGCAAGAGTCATAACCTCGCCCTGAACATCAAAAAGACCAAAGAATTGATTATAGACTTCAGACAATGCAAAGCATAGCCTCTTCCACTATATATCAATATAGATTGTGTGTGTTATGTATTTAGCACTTGACAGCAGTTCTCCTTCTGGTCCGCTGCCTGAGCGGGAGCGCCGAACGCTCCCATTGGCTGATGCCGTTTGACAGCCGGCTATAAAAGGGAGCTGTCAAACGGCATCAGCTGTCGCCGCCAGCTGGCTGTCAGATTGCATCTGAAGCCGCGGCGACCCTTTATTCACTGAATAAGCTGTTAGCGTTATCCTGGCTCCGTCTCCCTTCTGTAACCGCCGCTCCACAACACTGGCGACGAGGGCGGGATGCAGTAAAGACGTCCAGGCGAAACAATTGAGCTGAAGTCACACAGAGAAAGAGCTGAAGCCGCTAATTACCGAGTGAAGTCACCGCCGCCGGCGCTCTCCAAAAGAGCGCGAACTTCAAAGCTCCGAAGCTGAGGAGCCGAACGCCGCTGACAGGCGCTGCTGAAACGCTTTTTTAAAAGCGACCGCTGAATTTTTCTTCACCTAGCACACCCACGGTTATCGCTCAAATGGCATCCACGCCGACCTTCCCACATTTCCAGCCCGGAACAGAGACTTGGGAATCCTACATTAATAGATTTGAATGTTTTTTAAACGCTATAGACTTGTCTAGGGCTACAGACCTGAGGAAAAGGTCTTATTTTTTAAGTTTTTGTGGGGCTACAGTTTTTGACACTGCCTCAGCATTAGTGTCACCACGACCCATTAAGTCTATCCCCTGGGAAGAGCTGAAGGATATTCTAGCCAACCATTATTCCCCCAAACCCTCTCAGATAGCTAGGAGGCTAGCTTTTAGGAGAAGGGTTCAAGCTGAGGGAGAAACCATAAGCCAATATATGGCAGCTTTAAGATCTGCTGCCATCCACTGTGGGTTCAGGGACTACCTTGATGATATGCTACTTGACCAAGTTGTGGGGGGGGTTAGAGATCTAAAGCTGCAACGTAGGTTATTAGCCAAGAAAGATCTCAACCTAGCCATAGCCCTAGAAGAAGCTCAAGCTGCTGAGCTATCAGAAGTGTCTGCAGCTGAGATTCAAGGTACTTCCATTAGACAAGGGATGGCTACAGTCCACTACGATGAAGCCTCCCAGGAGGAAATAGAGGAGCCATTAGAAATAAATCGCCTCACACGCCCTAGAGCACCTTTAGCTCCACCAAGGAGAAACAACAGCCAGTTCACCAAACAACAATCCCCTTGTTTGAGTTGTGGGGGAAACCATCCTAGAGCCAAGTGCAGATTCAGAAATGCTATTTGTCTGAACTGCCAGATGCAAGGGCATATAGCCAGAGTTTGTCAAGCTGAACAAGCCCCTGTCCCAAGATCCCGAACCTCTGCCTCTTTCCAAAGGCAAGTAAAAAGCTGCTACACTTGTTATCACGCAGGCAGCGTCTCCACTAACCCTAACAAAATAAGCGTTTCTCTTCTTTTAGAAGGTAAACCCTGCCATATGGAGGTGGACACCGGGTCAACCCTCTCCATCATTGCATGGTCCACGTTAAAGAAGATGCTGCCTTCGTTCCCAAGGAGGAAGCTGACCACCTGCCACCTGAATCTTCGGGACTACCAGGGAAGGAACATCCCCGTCCTGGGTAAGGGAAGATTCCTTATTCAATTCCAAAACTTTAGAGGTTACTTGCCACTGGTAGTTGTTGATGGTGCCCTGCCTAGTCTGCTAGGACTGGATTGGTTCCCTGCCCTGGGGCTTAGCATAACAGGGATTCACACTGTCAGAAACTCTGAAGTTGATGCCCTTTTTAACGACTACGCTGATGTTTTCAGCAGTGACCTGGGCTGTTATACAGGCACCCCCATATCTTTCAATGTGGGTCCACAAGCCACCCCAGTCCGTTTGAAACCTCGAAGAGTTCCCTTTGCCGTTAGGCCCAAATTAGACGCAGAGCTGGACAAACTCATAAATCAAGGAGTTTTAGAACAGGTAGACTTTGCAAGGTGGGAGACACCCATAGTTACACCTTTAAAAAAGGATGGCAGTGTAAGAATTTGCGCGGACTATAAGACGTCCATCAACCGTTTCCTTCAAGTTAGCACATACCCAGTACCGGTTATTCAACACCTGCTTCACACATTTGAGCCAGGCCTAATCTTTGCTAAATTGGACATGTCCCAGGCATACCAACAATTCCCTGTGGACCAACAAACAGCGGACCTTCAAACCATAGTGACACACAGGGGTGCGTTTAGATGTAAGCGTTTACAGTTTGGGGTCAGCGTAGCCCCTGGGATATTCCAATCACTCATGGAAAGAATCCTCCAGGGCCTACCCGGGGTGGTCCCATACTTTGATGACATATTAGTATCAGCCTCCAGCAAGTCACAGTTGTTACTCAGGGTTAGGTCTGTTCTTGACAGGTTTAGACTAAATGGGCTCAAATTGAAAAAAGAAAAATGCACCATAGCTACCAGTCAAGTAGACTTCCTGGGTTATCGAATTGATTCCTCGGGAATTCACCCTATTGAAAGCAAAGTCAAAGCCATTCACGATGCACCCACACCTTCTAACAAGGTAGAACTACAGGCCTTTTTAGGGCTTTTAAACTTCTATGCTTCCTTCTTACCCCACAAAGCCTCTGTAGCTGAGCCACTGCATAGGCTCCTAGACAAGAATGTTCCCTGGCACTGGGGGCAGGTAGAAGCCAACGCTTTCCGAGCAGTGAAGTCCCTCTTGACTTCAAACGCAGTTCTGGTGCAATTTAACAGGGACTTGCCCCTAGTACTCGCAGCTGATGCCTCACCTTTTGGGATAGGAGCAGTTCTAAGCCACAGACTTTCAAATGGATCAGAGGCACCCATTGCCTACTTTTCTAGGACATTCTCTCCTGCTGAGAGAAACTACAGCCAGATAGATAAGGAGGCTTTGGCTGCTGTAGCTGCTGTAAAAAAGTTCCATGAGTTTCTCTATGGCCATTATTTTGAACTAGTCACAGACCACAAACCGCTTTTAGGACTGCTAGCTGGAGACAAGCAAACCCCACAGGTACTTTCCCCAAGAATGACCAGATGGACTCTTTTTTTGGCCGCTTATTCATATACCTTGATCCATCGCCCCGGAATAAACCTGAGCCACGCAGATGCCCTCAGCAGATGCCCCCTGCCTACGCCAGTCGAGGACCCAGCTCCCATCCACGCAATCTTCGAGTGCACGGGACTGGACCTCCCAGTTTCAGCTGGGGATGTTGCTGCACACTCAAAAAAAGATCCGTTGATTTCGCAAGTCCTGGACTGGGTGGGAAGGGGGTGGCCGGATATACAATTTGCCCCTGAGCTAATTCCCTTTAGAACCCGCAAGCAGGAGTTGTCAGAAATTCAGGGCTGCCTGTTGTGGGGGACAAGGGTAGTCATTCCTGCCTCGTTGCAAGAACCAGTTCTAAGGGCACTGCACGTGGGACATCCGGGCATGGTGAGGATGAAGGCCTTGGCCCGAAGCTACGTTTGGTGGCCTGGACTAGATGCCCAAATTACCAGTTGGGTCAACGCATGCCAGGCCTGCCAGGCGACAAGGGCAGCTCCACCCACAGCCACACCCACCAGGTGGGAGGACGCGGGGGCACCCTGGGCCAGGGTTCACATTGACCTAGCAGGTCCCATGATGGGAAGGACTTTCTTGGTGGTTGTGGACTCATTTTCTAAATGGACCGAAGTGGCCATGCTGACTTCCACCACAACACAAGCCATCACAAGGGTTCTGACCCAGCTGTTTGCTACGCATGGACTGCCAGACACCCTGGTGTCAGACAACGGGCCTCAGTTCAGCTCAAACGAGTTTGCCATCTTCGCAGCCAACCTTGGCATCAGACACGCACTCACAGCACCCTTTCACCCTGCTAGTAATGGGTTGGCCGAGAGGGCCGTTAGATCAGCCAAGGAGGTTTTAGCCAAGCTGAGCATGGCAGACTGGCACTCCAAGTTATCCACCTACCTTCTCACACAGCATGCCACACCATGCCCGACCACCAACAAGTCACCTGCTGAACTTTTAATGGGCAGGCGACTCAGGACAACCCTGGACAGGTTGCACCCCTACTACGCCTCCAGCACACCCCTGGCATCTGACAGCCATGCCAGGGGTTTTGCCCTGCAGGACCTGGTGTATGCCAGGAACTATGCAGGGCAACCTTTATGGCTGCCAGGGCGGGTAGTCTCTGTTACAGGGCCCAGGTCTTACAAAGTCCTCCTGGAAGATGGGAGAACCTGGAGAAGGCACATCGACCAACTCCGGAGACGCTGGACCTCGCCCGCCGCCGAGAGCCTAGGCAACCCGCCGCCGAACTACCCGGTCTACTCACCGCCTGCCGCAGCCGCCCCGCAGCACTACCCGGTCTACCAGAGGCCCGACTTTCCAGCCAACCATCCACCGCGCGTAGACTTACCAGAGCAGCCGCCAGATGACAGGTCCGGAACAGCCATCGCCCCTCCACAGACGCCTGGCACCGCAGAAGGCAAGAAGGACTGTGCTGCAGCCGCCCAGCCTCCAGAGCCGCGAAGGTCCGGTCGCGAACGAAGACCGCCATTACGATTTATGGACTGCGCATGCGCGCGACCAGGGGGAAGGAGTGTTATGTATTTAGCACTTGACAGCAGTTCTCCTTCTGGTCCGCTGCCTGAGCGGGAGCGCCGAACGCTCCCATTGGCTGATGCCGTTTGACAGCCGGCTATAAAAGGGAGCTGTCAAACGGCATCAGCTGTCGCCGCCAGCTGGCTGTCAGATTGCATCTGAAGCCGCGGCGACCCTTTATTCACTGAATAAGCTGTTAGCGTTATCCTGGCTCCGTCTCCCTTCTGTAACCGCCGCTCCACAACAGTGTGGAAAGAGTTTATAGTTTTAAATTTCTAGGAACTCATATTTCTGACAACCTTTCTTGGTCGGTTCACACTATGGCCACTGCAAAGAAGGCCCAACAGTGCCTGCACTTTCTGAGGCTGCTGAAAAAGAGTGGTCTGGATGAGAAGTTGCTGGCTACCTTTTACCGTTCTACCATTGAGAGCATTTTGGCATACCGTGTAACGGTGTGGTATGCTGGATGCTCTGTGGTGGATAAGTAGATGCTTCCAGAGAGTTATAAATACAGCACAAAAAATCAGTGGTTGCTCTCTTTTTTCTTTGGAAGAGATTGCGAAGACCAGACTCCTCTCTAGAGCACTAAAAATCTCCACAGACTGTTCTTATCCTGGTCATTCATATTTCGAACTGTTACCATCAGGGAGACACTATAGATGTCTTAAAATGAGCACTAATATACCGAGAAACACTTTCTTTTCCAAGGCAATAATTGTCTTGAATCAAATAATGCATATGTGATTTAGCCCTATGTGTATAGTGGCATTTTTAAACTATCTAACTTACTATATGTTTTAGATAGGTTTTAGACTAGGTTTTATTGTTATTATTATTATCATTATTATTATTGTTGTTGATGATGATGATGATGGTGATGATGATGTTGATGTTGTTTAATTATTTTAATTTTTAAATACTCTGTAGTGTGATTGTGATGTGGTGTTTGGGGCACTGTGCTGGAGTAGCTTTCAAATTTCAAATCACATTTTGACTCACAGACAACTACAATGATCTAATACATATCGATTTTACAGAAGACAATGTTGAAAAAGCACTACGCGATCTAAAACCATCTCTATCTATTGGACCAGACAGAATATGTGCCTACTTCTTTAAAAAGCTATGCACTGCCATAGCCAAACCTCTAAGCATAATCTTTGAAAAATCTTTCAGGACCAGCTCCTTGTCAAACCTATAGTCACTAGCCACGGTCATCCCCATCTTCAAAAAGAGAGACCCCAGCCTAGTTGAAAATTACAGACCAATCCCTTATGCTGCGTCACCTGCAAAGTCATGGAATCAATTATTAACCAATCCATTATCCTCCACTTAGAGAGAAACAACCTACTCTCTAATAAATAATTTGGTTTCAGAAAAAAACTATCGTGTAATCTGCAACTCTTACACTGCAAAAACATATGGACTACACAACTCGATCAGGGCAAAGCAATAAATGCAATCTATATAGACTGCTGTAAGGTCTTTGATTCAGTGGTACATGACAAACTACTCCTAAAACTAAAATCTTATGGTATCTCTGGACACCTGCATAACTGGATAGAAGCATTCCTGTAAAACAGACAACAAATGGACAAAATTGGGAGCATCCTATCAAATTCTGTACCTGTCAATAGTGGTGTCCCCCAAGTCAGTGTTCTAGGACCAACTCTCTTCATACTCTACATAAATGACTTCTGTGATCATATTAAGAGCAACTGCGTTTTCTTTGCTGATGATGTAAATATCATCAGACAATACTGCTACCCTTCAAAAAGACCCTGACTATGTATCAGAATGGTCAAACAAATGGCAACTTCAAATCTCAACAAATAAGTGCTCTGTCTTACATATTAGCAAAAAAAATCAGAAAATAAAATACAAGCTAAATAGTCAAGACCTTGTTGATGATCCAAACTCTGTCAAGGACCTTGGAGTACTCATCTCTAATGATCTAAGTGCTAGAGGCCACTGTAACTACATATCCAAAAAGGCATTAAGAGTTGTTAACCTAATCCTACATAGCTTTTTCTCTGGTAATATCACACTATTAACTAGAGCAGTGGTTCCCAAACTTTTTCAAGCCACTGCTACAAACTCATCCTTGGTGCCCCCACCCAGCCATGGGATTAAAATTTCTGTGGGTGTGGCCTAATTTGAGGGTGTGGCTTGTTGGTCATGTGACTGGCTGGGCATGGCTTGCTGGTCACATGACCAGGTAGGTGTGGCTCGGTGGTCATGTGATTGGGTGGGTGTGGCCAGATGACTGGCAAACAAGTGGCCAGTTGTTTAGCAAGTGTTCTAATTTATGACTGGCCTCCCCAGAGATACTTGACCTGTTTTTGGAGTTTTCACAGCCATGCACACACATACAAACACACTCCCTTCTAACCCTGCTGGAGCAGGTCACTGGACTAGAATCGGCAAAGCATCTCTGATTAGATTCTAGTAGTGAATAAAATCTAATCAGAGATGCTTTGCCAATTCTTGTTGATTTGTTTTATTTGTATCTCTTTATTTTATGTTGCTGAATTGCATTGACATGTGTGTCCCTTCTTGTGCACAACCCAGAAGCTTTTGTGATTCTTTGCAGCAAAAATTACCGACTTCTGGCTTTGCTCTACTTTTCAAACATGCCGCCACTGCCACATTCTAGGTGCCGGCCCCGCAGGTCCACTCCATTGAGCCCACTGCACTGGAGGGACCTGCCCAAGCAAGTCAAGTCAATGGGGTGAGCCTGAGAGAGGAAAAGAGAGAGAGAGAAAAAAAAGAGAGAGAGAGAAGGAAGAAAAGAAAGAGAAATGGGAAAGAAAGAAAAAGGGACAAAAAAAGAATGGGGATGGAAGGAAGGGACAGAAAGAAAAAGAAATAAAGAAGGAGGGAGGGAGGGAGGAGAAAGATAATGAGATATCTATTCTAGTCTAATCACCTGCTCCAGCAGTGTTAGAAGGGAGTGTGTGTTTGTGTCTTCCCCTTCTCCAGCTCCCTGCCCCAGTTTTTTCTTTGGCATCCAGTTTTACAATGTCAACCTCCTCGGGGCAGCGATGTGGCCGACTTCACTCTCTTTGCTTCAACCCAAGGTCCACTTCCATCGGGCCAAGCAAGGGGAGATATTCTGTACACGCTCAGAGACTCCCAACTTTGGGGAAGTATTCCGCCCATCTTTACGCTCCGCCCGGGAGGAGGAAGGTGTGCGGAAGCAGCCCAGACTGGCAGAGGCAGAGGAACGATCGCTTGGAAACTAAGCAAGCAAGCGCAGCTCCGTCGGAAGAACTGGGCTGCAGAGGGAGGCTAGGTTCTAGGTCTGGGATGGCCATGTAGAGCCAAACCGAACTGAGCCACGTGCCTTGGAGAGCTGCAGCTGCACCCACCCGCATCCTGCATGCAAGCCCAGCTGGCTGGAGAGGCGGAGGCCAGCTGGGCGCTGTGCACTCCCTTGTTCTTCTCCAGGAAAGGGGGCCCTAATGCCAGACCACCAACCCCTTCCACTGCGAGCCTTGGGAGGCTTTTGCTTTCAGGCCTTCTGGCGCACCTCCGCCACTGCCACCGGAGAGGGCAGCCTGCAAGCTAAGGGGCCTCCTTTCCACCACCTTCCACCTTTCCCTTCCCCCAGGCTTGGCAAGGCTCACTGCGTGTGGGTTCCGCATTCGAGGTACCAGCTACAGAGCAATGAAACAGTCAATGGGCTGCATGGCTGGCAATCAGTGAGCCTGCGAGGCCAGCGCCTCGAACGCCCTTCCATGCCTCTTAGCACCCCCCTAAGGCATCCCCCCCCAGGGGGCAGTACCACCCACTTTGGGAACCACTGAACTAGAGCATACAAAACATTTGCTAGACCAATACTTGAATACAGCTCATCAGTATGGAACCCGCATTACATATCTGATATTAATACAGTTGAGAAAGTCCAGAAATATTTCACAAGACTCATTGCAGAATACCTTATGCCACCAGACTTGAAATTCTAGACCTAGAAAACCTAGAACTACGCCGCCTTCGGTCCAATCTAAGTTTAGTATATAAAATTATATATTGCAATGTCCCACTTGCCAATGAATACTTCAATTTCAACCATAACAATACAAGAGCACACAATAGATACAAACTCAAGGTAAACTGCACCAAACTTGATTGCAGGAAACTTGATTCAGCAACAGAGTGGTCAATGTCTGGAATACTCTACCTGACTCTGTGGTTTCTTCTCCAAACCCAAAAACTTTAACCTTAGATTGTCTACTATTGACCACACCCCTTTTCTAAGAGGTCTATAGGGGGCGTGCATAAGTGCACCAAAGTGCCTACCGCCCCTGTCCTATTGTTTCTTTTTATTTTTCTTGTATGTATTCATTTCATGTATTCATAACTATATACTTATACCTGTTATCTTATAATCACTTGACAAAATAATTTTTTTAAAAAAAAATGAATTTCATTGTATTTGTAGAATGCAATGACAATAAAGGTATTCTATTCTATTCTATTCTATTCTATTCTATTCTATTCTATTCTATTCTATTCTATTCTATTCTATTCTTCAGTTCTGCCATATTTTCAGTTCCTGTAATTTCCCTTTGAAAATCTAATAATTTATTTGAAATTATCAATGAAAACATCATTTAAGGGGCCCATTAAAGGAAAACAATATGCATTTTTCCAAAATGCATATTATTTTGAATTAATTATCTTTTGCTTCATTCTGACACAGGTGCATCTATAAATAAATATTTTGCTTTTTTTTTTTTTTTGCTAATTACTCTATTGGTAGTAAAGAGATTTGGCTCAAACAGTGATTTTAAAGGTTAAAATTTTTTTGCAGCTCTGATGCAACAATGTTGACACAACCAGAAAATTTCTCCCTGTAAGATATCAATGTATAATTAACTAAGATACAGAAAAACAATTCCTGGAACAAGAAACACAAATTTTCTTTCTATTTAATTAGAAAGCTACTTTCTCATGAGCACACACGCTGATTTATGAATACCTATTGTTCTTAATTTAAGTACACATTTAATTTTAAACAATGAAAGCTGTATACAATGTACTCCTAATACATTTAGAGTTATCAATGTTACCTTGATATATTTATAAACCTTGGGTTAATAGTTGTTTAACTTTCCTTGTTGAAGCTATAATCAATTCCAATAGTTCCTAACTAAAATCTTTTGCTGAATACAAACACAAACAAAAGGTTGACAAAATATAGAGAAATTTGACTTATATTTCATTCTAATATATATTAGGTTATCCAAGATAACATCTGGAATAGTAATAGAAATGCAGTCAGCTTGTATGTTTATTTTGGATTGAGTATCAAGTCAGTTGGCATGGGATTGCTTGCCACACAGCCAACTTGCTGCAGCCAACTCACTACTGCCAATTCACCATGGCCATTTCCATGGGACAACTTGCTGCAGCCTATTTGAATAGAATAGAATTCTTTATTGGCCAAGTGTGGTTGGACGCACAAGGAATTTGTCTTCATGCAAATACTCTCAGTATACATAAAAGAAAAGATACATAGGGTACAATAAGCCATCAAATCATACTAGGAAACAGTCAATATAAATCGTAAGGATAGAAACCACAAAGTTACAGTCCTACAGTCACAAGTGGGAGGGGATAGGTGATAAGGAATGATGAGATGATTAACAGTAATAGTAGTGCAGACTTTGTAATAGTTGAACAGTGTTGGGGGAATTATTTGTTTAGCAGAGTGATGGCTTTCGGGAAAAAACTGTTCTTGTGTCTAGTTGTTCTGGTGTGGAGTGCTCTATACCGTCGTTTTGAGGGAAGGAGTTGAAACAAATTATGTCCGGGATGTGAGGGGTCTGTAAATATTTTCACAGCCCTCTTTTTGACTCGTGCAGTATACAGGTCCTCAATTGAAGGCTGGTTGGTAGTAATTGTTTTTTCTGCAGTCCTAATTAACTTCTGAAGTCTGTGGCTGTGTCAGATCCATGTATCTGTCATTTCTTCAATGGAAGAAGAAAAGCGGGGGGAGACTGATAAAGATATCCTTCTTGATGTAACCTGAATATATTTAATCTTATATCAAATTTGTATAACCTACACATGATACAATGGAGAGATGAAACCCAGATGGCCAGAACCTATCACCTCTGAGAGAGACAGCCAGGAGTTGAAGAGACCATAAAAATTCCACAATGAGATGTGTCCTGGGAAACTCTGTAAAAGATTGTTCTAAAAATGGGGTGGGGGGAATTAACTGTGGTGGTCTCCCATGGAAAGAATGAGACACAAGCGTGTGTACTCG